GCTAAAATGTATACAAAATACCAAGAGGCTGTTGATGCTTTGCGACATGAACAGCTAGGAAGAAAGGAGGCTGAGTCAATACTGCAACGGGTATTGTTGATTATACCTTTTCTTTATTATTTTAAATCTAAAGTTATGATGTAATGATCATTTTTTCTACATGTTTTATGATGGTGGTGCTTACAGTCAACTTTATCATGGAATGGCTTTCCATCTCTTGACATTTAGTATTGGTCCTCTATGTCATTACCTTAAAACCTATAGTCTGTGTGTTTTTTTACCCCTGCTTCTCTGCTAAGGGTTGTTTATTTTAGTGGCTTTTTTAGATGACATGGCAATGGAGTGATATACTGCACACTGATTGAGATAATTTACATTTAAATCCTTGTTAGATAATTTTTTGTATCTCCATTTCTTCCATTTACTATAGTAATGCAATTTTCTAATGTTCTGTGCTATTGCTTGTTTATATTTGCATTGTGAGACTGACTTAATTTTAATCTCTGTATTACTTTTGGCTTGTTTGTGAATATGCAATGTTGTCAATGATGATCTGTTTTTCTCTTTTTACCCCCAACATTTTTGGAAAGCTGATGTTGGGTTTAATACTGCCTTTTCAGGTCCTCTGTGAATTAGAAGAGAAAGCCGCAGTCATTTTGGATGAAAGAGGTATGGAGCTACCATTTTCTTGTCTTAGCTATTTTTTGTTGCGAGTTGGATGGGGTAACTTCTTTTAGTAGAGCAATCTGTCTCTTTTCACAACATTATTTTTTAAGATATGTGCTTTTCTTGAAAGAAGATAATGAAAAAGAAGGGAATGGACCTGATTCAAAACATTTTTGTGTATTGGAGGTGAAAGGGCTTGTAAATTCTAAATATCATTGCTGAAATGATTGTGACTTGTGAGTTTAACTTTACTGTGCTCAAAATAATGTTCATGATGTTTATGTTTTTGATTGTCAAATTATAAATTTCATAGTAGTTTTTAAATCTTTCCTAATGATGATGTATGTATAATTTAGTTGGTCTTTGTTGTAGAATAATCTTTGATGAGATTGATCTTTGATGGCCTTGGTCTTCATTTATCATTCAATTTCTGTCTACAAAGTTATATTTTGGTGCATTAATGGATCTCATTTTTGCAGCGGAGTATGAGAGAATGGTTGAGGCATACTCCACAATAAACCAGAAATTGCAGAGTTCCCTATCTGAGCAGCTGAATCTCGAGAAAACCATTCAGGGATTGAAGGTTTTTTGTTTTTAATTTATTTCTGTTTCCCTAGGAAAACATTTCAATATTGTCAAATGTACCTTTGTCATTTTCCTTTCTTTAATTCATTTATATTGTCGGGATTCTCAGAAGCATTTTTTCCTCCAGGTTGAATTGAAGAGGCGTGAGCGTGACTATAATCTGGCTCAGAAAGAGATTTCAGACCTTCAGAAGCAGGTAAAGATGACTTGTATATGAATAGTTGGTAAAATAGTATTTAACTTCTGATATTTTAATTTTGATATCAATTCAGTGTTGCAAAGGGTGCTACCTAGATGCTTGGCGGTGTTTTGCTGCCTCGCCTAGGCCCTTGGCAGCAAAGCTAGTTGTTTCTTTTATTTTTTAGATTTTTTTATTTATTTTGGCATCCTCTCCCCCCCCCCCCCAAAAAAAAAAAAAATCTAGAGAGCCTGCCTATCAGCATCTAGCCGGCACCTAGGCAGTGACCCAACATCTAGGAACTGTCTTTTGCCTTCTGCAACACTGGGGATCATTACTTGTTTATAGGTATAGCATTTGTTTATTTTTGCCGTTTCTTTCTAGTCAGGGAAAACAACCACATCTTGGTTGGCAGTTAAGTGTTTGCTATGTCCCTTTAGTTACAAGGTTAGTTATGGGTTCATATCTGATAATAGAAGATGCAAATGATGCAATTCACAAAAACATGGGGAAAAAAAATAGTTACAAACGTAATGTACCTCTTGGTGCAATGTGTCACCAGATGTTCAGCTAAGAGAGGTCCAGTACCACAGCTGTGTAAGCATGTAAACTAGTATTTAGTCAACCTTGTCATCACAGTTCAGCCAACTTTAGACTCAGTATAGGGATTTGCTTTTTATTACCAGTTGGGGGTTCCTTTTAAGTTATTTTTGACCTGTAACTTTATACCACTAAGAACTAACAAATGCTTATTGGAGGGATAACATACAGTGAGATTAACAGCTCTTTGGGGTGTGTACCATAATGAGATGTGGTCCTTCTCTGAGAAAGCTTGTTTACATTCTTCTTCTTCATGAGTTTTCTTGTGAATGTAATCGAATGTGTTGGGACTGCTTTTATTCATGGTTGGCTTGGCATATTCAGGCTTTCTTAGTAAACTGAGTTCAGAGTAAATCCACAAGTTGCTTGCTGGCAATTTGCTTTGCTGCTTTCACAGTCTGCACTCCACAGTTTGACCATACTAATCTTCTCTTATTGATGATAACACTTTAGGTGACCATTCTCCTCAAGGAATGCCGTGATATACAACTACGTTGTGGATCAACTGGACCTGATGCTGCTGATGAATATGCACTTGTTGGTGCTGATGCAGCTGAGATCAATGTGGAATCTGATGCCGAAAGAGTTATCTCACAACAACTAGTAAATTTTCTGTTCATTTTCTTCTCCCTCGGAAACATGATATGGTTTTTTTAGGGAAATACTGACAATTTTTTCATGAATGAAATGGTCACAGCTGAAGTTTAAGGATATAAATGGTTTAGTGGAACAGAATGTCCAACTAAGGAGCCTTGTGCGTAATCTTTCTGACCAGATTGAAAATAAAGAGATGGAGTTCAAGGTAATGTATTGAATACCTTGTCTATATGTAAGTCCGTGGTTAATGTACTTGTGATTGACAAGTAGATGTTAAAATTTGAAATGCAGGAAAAGTTGGAAATGGAGATCAGAAAACAAACTGATGATGCTGCCTCTAAAGTTGCGGCAGTGTTGCAGAGAGCTGAAGAGCAAGGGCGCATGATTGAATCACTTCATGCCTCTGTAAGCTTCTTTAGGACCTAGCATTCTTGGGAACAAATTCTGCCTTTTGTCTTCTTGTTTTCAGTAATAGCTGTAATCTATACAATTATCCACCTTTAATAACTTTCCCGCCATTTTTCTTTTCTAAAGGTTTCAATGTACAAAAAGTTGTATGAAGAGGAACATAAGCTACGCTCATCTTACACCTCTTCTGCAGATATGGTCCCAGGTTCTTTTTCTATATTCTTCTCATGTTATTTGTGTGAAGAGGAACTGCTTTTATAAGTGTCAAATAGGTAAGAAGACTAGGAAAATGGTTCACTGGGAGATAATAGTAAATATGAATGGTTGTTAGTATTTGAGGTTTTAAGGATTTTATCTACATTTATAAAAATAATATTTTGGATTCACTGAACTGAATTGTATCCATATGTTTTTAGACATTATCATTATGGTCTGAGCTTTATATCAACACTATCATTAGTCAGTTTTATTTTCCTTTAGTCTCCTTTCAATTCTGTTACCATACATGTAACATGCATTCATCTTTGCAGATACAGGTAGGAAGGATCTCCTACTTCTTCTTGAAGGTTCACAGGTATTATTTTTAGTTTTTTTATTTTTTTATTTTTTTTTTTTTT